ATATTCTCGTTTAAAACTACCCAGGAAGCAATATGAATATCCCAGAAACAGTGCACTATGGAAATTTCTAATGTGATCTACGGTCTCAGGTATTTTAACAGTGGAAATAGTCAGTTGTTCTACCTATCTCTCGCCCCTTTTTTTTTTTTTGACAGGATCCAGTTTATTCTGCCTTGGCAAGGTGACCTGAGAGCAATAGGTTTTTCCTGAGAACGGGGAAATATAATATAATACCTTATAATAGAGGAAGAGACTGAGGGAAAAAAGGTGGGAGAAGTGAAGGTGAGTAGTAACATAGACTGGAAAAACAACCTGACACTGAATACAATGTTTGTATCACATACAGTGCAACGCCTCTCCTCTATATCCCAGAATATATATATATATATATATATATATATATATATATATATATATATATATATATCTCCAATTCCAAAACTTTAATACCACTTATATGTCTAAAACCTCTGCATGTATCTCCATGTTTAGTTAAAAAAAATTGAGCAAATTTCCAAACTCCAACAAATAAACTCACACACAATTTAAGCAACTAGAGTACTGTGCTACAGCAATGCTTAAATAATATATTAACAAATATATAAACAACATATAGCTATGTTATAACTTTAGACTGAAAGGTAGACTACCAATCACCAAAATACCTACCTTTATAGTAACTGAATTTATTTCTTTATTCTCTCCTTCCTCCCCTATTTTGAGACAGAATTTCATTCTGCATGCCCAGGCTGACCCAGAATGTGCTAGGTAGTCCAAGCTGAACAGGGAACTTTCAATCCTCCAGTCTCAGGCTCCTCAGTGTTAGTATTATCAGCATCTAGCAGCCAGTTTCTCTATAGCTAAATTGGATGATCCATTTTTTTTTAATATTTATTAATCTATAACCAGCTGTTATAGGATGTCTCTTGAAAAAGATATAAAAGTTTAGTTGGCTCCATCTTTATTTTGTTGGCTCAGTGTGTTTCATTCTCATACTGTTTTTGTTTTTTAAAAGGGAGTACACAGAGGGCTCTAGCTTATTTTAACTGAATAGCTACAAGCAATTGATCCTAATGGTTTTAAGTTTAAGCATCTGGCAGGACTAGGTGAGAAACTGATACTTTCCTTTTGAGTTCTTCCCCTCATGACCTAATTTCTTTTAACCTTTTACTGTTCATTAAAACAAAAACAAACCACCAAAACAAAACAAGAACACCATTCTTGACAAATTGTGTCTGATCTAACCATTATATAAGTCATACATTATTAAAAGACAGTGAGTTTTTGAACACCTCAATTTGACAACACTGTAAATGTGAATTCAGGTACAAGCACCCCTGACATACTACTTTACTTTCAACTTATGCCAACAGCCAGAGAGATTGCTGACACTGCTCTAGGTCATCTCCACCTTTCCTCCAGCAATCCCATGGGAGAGGGGCTACTAACAATGGGAAAACAACAACAAACCCTGGCTATCTGAATTTTGAAAAGCTAATAATACACGCTAAAGGAGGAGACAGCTGCAAAAAGAAGCTTAGGAGAGAAAGAACAAAGAGCATGAGAATGGAAATTTGGGAAGACATTGCAAATATTAACAAAAATTATCTCAACTGCTTGAATTTTGAATGTGCGTGTGTGTGTGTGTAGTCAGGTCTATGTCCAAAGGGTATGCAGAAAGTATCTTTTCTTACTACATAAGAAATTAAAATCATAACAAGAAAAAAAAAACAGCAAATTAGAAATTATTGCTGACTAGCCTAGAAACATACCACTCAAGGTAATGTTTATGAGAGAAAAGTTCTAAGTTCCAAATGTACCTAGTATGTGAGTGTAGTGAACAAAACAGACATGCTCCCATACCTACCTAGTAATAAAATCTGGCAAGCAAGCAGAAATACTATATGATATGACAGCCATTATACAGAAAATAAAGTGTTGAGACAGAAAAGAATTGGAAGTATACATTTTAAATAATGGTGGAAGTCATCAAAGAAAGTAGTTTTATACCCAGCTCAGTGAAAAAGAGGGGACTAGGTACATTAAGAACAGGACAAAGAACAGTCCAAGAAATGGAGAATGGGGCAGTAAAGTATACCTTGTTCTGGTATCTAAGAGATCACAACGGCAGAACAAAAGTTAATGAAATAGGAAAATAAAGTCTGAGGCATCACTGAATGCAGAGGTTCACAGGCTATGGTTGGGCATTGAGATTTTACTTTGATTCAATGGAAAAGTACCAATGAGCCTGTAATAAAACCTACAATTTTAGAGTACAGCCTGTTAACTGAGAACAGGTTTTCATAATTATACAAGTAATTTTAAACTGAAAAAAAAAAAGGCTGCCTGCAGAAATTCAGTTTATAATATTGTCCACTCTAGCAACCTTTCTACTTGTATTCAGTTAATACCCTCTCTCCTGCTACAACTTGGCTCTAGTGCTCAGCTTTCATGTAGACCTTATCTTGCTTTGAAAGTTTTCTGTTTGTAGAGCTTTATTTTGTTTTTACCCTCCACAATGTTCTTTAAGTTCCACGAACATGGGACCATTCCTTTCTTGTTATCATTCTTTCCCCCACAATCTCATTCCACAGTTGACATTTAAAAAAAAAAATCAATACTTACTATGATTCTTCTAGTATTTAATAAGCACTTGGTTATTCTAAACTTAGATATGCCATTCTACACTCCCAGGAAGTGCAAAAGGCTGTGTGAGTGGTGTAAGTGGGTCTTGTCCTCAATTTAGTTACATTGTATGTCAGCCAATAAACTTGTTGGAAGCATAAAAGGGAGGTTACCTAACAAAGCATTTTCTTGTGTAGTCATGAATATATATGTGTGTGTGTATATATAACAAAGAAATAATACTTAATACATTTTATTAAAATCAATCTGAGTTTCAAGTCTCCCACTTAGAGCAAAGGTTAACAGTATTAGACCTGCCTTATTCCTGTCATCGACGAGGGGAGCATGTGATAAATGTCATGTTCAATAAAACAGCAGAAAAAGAAAACTTATCTGCTGAGCAGACCATAAGGAAAACTTACACAACATCCAACTTGTGTGAACTTCTGTAACTTCCCTTCCGCCCCACCCCCACCCATGTTTAAGGGTGTCAGGTTTTTATCTGCACTGATTCAGCACTGTGTTTACAAGCTTTTCAGGGGGATTCATAGTACACAACTTTCTGACCTCTGCCACTACTCAAGTAAGGTACTAATTACTGAAAATATTAGGGAGGAAAACCATAGAAGAGGAAAAAAAATCAGAAGGAAAGAAAATTAATATGATCAAGGATTAAGCTCGGCAATATTTAACAAACGATATATAAAGAAGTTTGGAGAGAGCGTTTTTTTCTATACACTTGGAAGCAAAACAGTGCGTAGCTCAGATCTGGTGTTTTACTGAAGTGAAATCTTGTGTTCCTTAAAAGTGGAAATAGCTTTCATTTGGGGTATAGGGGAGCAAAAGCCTGGCCTCTTGTTCATTTTTCTGCTCTCTCAGCACCCTCAAAATGAACACCTCCAGAATTTCTAGCCGGTTTAAAGAGAAAAATATGGCCGGGTGGTAGTGGCCCACACCTTTAATCCCAGCATTCGGGAGGCAGAGGCAGGTCAATCTCTTGAGATTGAGGACATCCCGGTCTACACAGTGAGTTTCAAAACATCCAGCGATACATGAAGAAACCTTGTCTCGAAAAACAAAAACAAAAACCAACCAAACAAACAAACAAAACTCCAACAACAATAAGAGAAAATATATACCTTAGGAAAAAAAATGCTATGCAATAAAATGTAATTGGTGGTAATGTGAGAGGCAGATTACCTAATTCATTTCTTGCAAGGAATGGCTGTAATGACCAGCTATACAGGGACTTCAGTTTTTCTCAGCATAGAATAAATACGTAGTAAAATGTTTTTATAGTTTCAAATCTCTGGCATTCTTTCGAATGACGATAGTTTGAAACTGGAAAGGTTCCAAATGTCTTATACAGTTTCCTTGAGTTCGAGGCAGTCACTTCAAAACACACCTATCTGAACACATCCCTTTTAGTTCTAAAGAAGAAAGGAAATATCCTGGCCACTTACAGATAACGGCCTTATAAGCTGTTGAATAATGACTATGGATTTACCTACTACTGTAATAGAGGTTGTCTGGCGAGTTGAGAGTTCTGGCAAAACTATATATTTAACAGCAGTGATAACACGGTAAAATTCCATGCACGGAACTGCAAAAAAATCAAACTTGGTAAAATGGAAAGCTTGGGGTTCATCCAAACATTCCTGGGAACACAGGCAAACCCCAGCAATCTCCTTCTAAGAACGCGACTGCAATGAGCTCTAGCTGGCAGTCTCTGAGCTCGTCAACATGGGCTGAAATTTCTAGAAAAGTTGCTCAACAACAAGCGTGGCCCACGCCAGGAAACATCACCACCGCCCTCCAAAGGGAAGGCAAAGGACCGCACAGGATGCTGCACGGTTCGTGGACTTGGCAACACCGGGCCAGGAGGGTGTGGACTCGCCAGGCAAGGTCGGTTCCGCGCGGCCGGCGCCCCAGCCTGGGCTCGCCGTGGGCCGCCGCGCCGTGCTCCCTCCGGCGCTCACACCGCGCAGGCGCCCCTCCACCTCCAAACCCAGAGCTTTCGGGATCGCCAGCGTCGCCCCTCGCCCTCCCCACAACCCTGCGCGCGAGGCCACCCGGCGCCAGCAAGGACGGCTTTCCCCCACAGCTAGTCCGTCCGCGGCCACCCAGTTACGTCCTCCCGCCCTCGCTCCACTCCTCCCCGGAGAAATGCGCCCCATGACGGCCGCGACATCCCCGCCACTTCCCCAGGCCGGGGGCCCGCAGTCTTACCCCGAACCCAACCAGCGCAAGCCTAGAAATAGCAACTCCGACTCCAGCCGACTGAGTGACTGATAGGCGGCAGCACGTTCACGACACTTTCACGATTGCCGTAAAGAGGGGACTCAGAAAAGGCTGCTGCGCGCCTCCGATCTGCTCGGGAGCGCGCCCGGGTCTCCGCCCTGGCTCCTGCAGAGGACTTGATCTGCGTCTTGAGGCTGGAGGTGCTTGGTCCTGGACGGGAAAGAAGGTGGGTGGGAGGGCGGGGAGGGGAGAATGGCTGTCCTAGGGCCGAGAGTGGGCGTCCAGCGGGATGTTGTGTCGGAGGGTGTGTTCGCAAGCCGTGGTTGAGGGCGCAATGCGAGTCCCGTTCGCCCCAGCGGGCGCGCGGGAGCTACGGGAACCCTGGCAGCCTCACCTGGTTCGTCGAGCTTCGTGATGCACAGGACCGGAGTCGGGGTCTAGCTCCGGGAACCTACGGGTCATGGTGGTTCTTCGCGTCCTACTTTCTCTTTGGTACCTCTACCACCAGCATGTCCCAAGCGATGCTTCGTGCCAAGTTTGGTGTCTATATTTTTTCTGATGTCATGCACACAGTGAAGCTACAAGACGTAGGGTGTGTGTGTTTCCTGGGGGTTGCTATTGTTGAAGCTGCTCAAGAAACCTTTGTCCGAGTATCTTTTCTCATCTCTGTGCCCTTATTTGTACTTGGTGGGGACTGGGGAAGTTCAAAACTGAGACCAGTGGTGACCTTGTGTTTACAGGCTTCAGTCTACAACCCATGATTTTGTTTCAGGGAGTGGTCGCAAGCGGAAAGGAAGTTACTAGTCCTATGAATCCTGACCGCCACATTGCTTTGAAAAGCAGTGAGACGGGAATAAATTCTCCAGCTTTCCCAAGTTTATTTTATAAAGAAGAGTACCCAAATGCAACAAATTTATTTTGCATTATCAAATTTTCACTTCTTGGCCGTGTAACTAGATGCCTTAAGATTAGTCATTAGAAAATATTTACATTTGTCAAGAGGCCATGTTAGAACTTAAGAAAATAATCACTTTTATGCTTTGTTCAGGCCCTGATTTTCCGTGTACCTCCGAAACAAAGCGTGGGGCTACCGGTTTGTTCACTTGGAACATCCAGAGTTTACATTTTTATTTTTCTGTTTTTGTCACCACTTAGAAGAAACAACATAAAGAAGTTCATTTTACTATACCAGTAGCTTTTAAATGTGAAAAAAAACGTGACTGCATTTCTGATTCATGGAACGTCCAAGAAAGCAGAGAAAAACGGTTGAGAGATGCCAAAGGATTGGTTAAACATTCTTAACTGTTGTGTAAAGTTCTTAAATGTTTTCAAGTAATTTTAAAACTTTTGGGGGGGTACTGGAAATTGAACTTAAGGCTACTTTTTTGCTATGCAAACACTCTACCCATGTCTTTCAAAGGGTTCTTTAATGTTTTGACCTTTAAAATAGTTAACCATTACAATGTTAATCTTGGTCTGAAATTGCTCTCATACTTTAGCTTTTGGAGGTGAAGGTGCATGGGCAGTTAGTAGTCTTCCTGTCTATGTTAGCTTCTTAGTTGTCCCTGTCTTGCCTCTCAGCTGTCTGTTTAAACAGTTAGAAACTTTAAAACCTAAACCGATACAACTACATCTTACCCTGCCGTTATGACATTTTATAGTTATATTTCAAATTAGCATACTGTATCTCAGAAATTAAGTATTTTGCCTGAAACCCAATAAGTGATAATTGTGGGATTAAACAAACAACAAAAACCACAATGTTGAGGGGTTTAGGGAAATGTGTCTTCTGTACCAAACAATAAGAAAATTGACTTCCTACAATTAAACAGTTTTTATTTACAGCTGATAGGTCACTGTTGTGAAAAAGAAAAGAAAGAAACCTCAAGTATCAGCTCATATTTAAAAGAGACATTTTGCTCATACTGCTGCATTCTAATGCTCAGGCCACAGACACTGTTGGTTAATAGGCTAAGACTAATGTGCTGCTGAAAGTCATGTGGTTGAAATAATAACATAATCTTTGTATCTAGATTTTAGAATTTGAAAAAGGAACAGGTTTAAGTTCGGAAGATTAAAAACTTTTGAACTCATAAAACAGGTAATGTATCTTTCATATTGTAAAAAGGATCAAATAATATTTACTGACCACTTAACGATAGAACCTAACATCGATTATCTCACTTGGTATTTGAATAAGCCTCACTGAAGCAGCTAGGAGCTGTTTTTAGACTGATTAACGAATAAACCTGGGGCTTTGAGATGGCTCAGCATGTAAGGTACTTGCTAGCAACACTAATGACATGAGTTCTACCCCTGGGCTATACATAGTAGAAAAAGAAACTGATTCCTGAAATTGGTTCTCTGGCTACATGGCACTTACACTTCTCTCCCCTACCCCACATGCATAAAACTCATAAATAAAGGTAATTTACGAGTATTTGACAATATTAAAAGCTACTGCTGATTATACAGCACCAGTATGTCGGGTTCTTTTCTTGTTGTCACTGTAACTTCTATAATAACTGTCTAGCACAGTCTGGTGGAACTTTTCCAGGATAAGGAAATGTCCTGTATTTCTATTTTCTTGTTGCTGGCCTCTAGACTGGCTCAACATTTGAATCATGAAGAATACAACATGGGAACTGAAATTTGAATGTTTTTATATATTAATGTATATACCTTTCTAGTAACTAGTGTATGGTACAATCTGTGCTGATAATATTTTTATTTTTCAAAGGAAAAACTGGCTCAGCCAAGTTTTAAAGCTTGTCCAATATCATACAGTTTTACTTTTATAAAAGGGTTTGGGCAGGGCCATACTTATTAAAATGGAAATGTAGATTGAATTGGTAGAGGGGAAGAAAAGCAGTTCAACCAAGAGTGAAAAATCTAAATCAGACTAGTTACACTGTACAGTGGGTAAAGGATGGAAGGAAGGAATAAATGATGTGCAGAAGTAGAATTGCCATTATTTAATGGTAGCATGTGAGCATTTTGGAGAGAGCCTCCTCTGCAAGAGTTCCCGTGAAGTCCAAGAATCTGAGAAAATGATAATGCTGTTTATTGAAATAGAAAATCCAAGACCAGTTGCTGGAGTTAAGATGATTTGGTGCCAGTTTTTTGTTTATTCAACAAGTCCTGAGTAGTGATGGGTGAGTCCCTGCGTTTGCAGTTGCTGGAGCCTTTCCCCTTCACTAAATGATCATATCACAGAAAGTCAAGTTTTCTCAAGAAGTGCTTGCTTCTTCATGCAAAGAGCTTAGCAAAGGTTGTACGTAGAAGATAGCATTTGTGCTGTGTGTATATGTCAGTATGTCTGTAGGTGTAGGTGTACATGCATATTTGTGACTGTTGAGAACAGGACAGCCTCAGGTGCCATATACCTTTTTAAAAGATAGAATGACTCTCTAGCCTGGAACTTTTCCGGTAGGCTAGGCTGACTAGTGAGCCTCAGGAATATTCCTGTCTCTTCTTCTGCTGTGATAGGGTTACAAACACTCTGCCATACCTGGCTTTTATTTTAGATTTTGGATTAAGCTGAACTGTCTTTCCAGTCCTTTGCTGCATTTTGAATATTAAGGACTAGAAGTAAAAACCAGTAAAATGGGGAGGAGGCTATTCTACTAGTAGGGGGTCAAACAAGATGTTTTGAACATATCTTTTACCCAGACACCTAAATATTGAATGAGTCATATTAGCTTTTTAAAGGCTAAAACACAGTTCCTGTGAAAGAAAGGGGAATTCTTCAGCCAGGCGTAGTGTCTCATTCCTGTAATCCCAGAACTTGGAGGTAAGACAGGAGGATTTTAAATTTGAGGTACCTTAGACAATAGTGTATTTCAGGCCAGCCAGAACAAAAGGGTAAAACCATATCTCAAACCTTCTATAACCTCCCAAAACAGAGGGGAACCCTGGGGGCTGAAAAGTCAAAGAAGGAACTGAAGCAAGAGAGATAAACTAGCTATTGTCTTCGAAGCATTTGGCTTATAACAGGAAAAAGAACAGTGAAGAACTAGGAATAGAATTTTGCTTCCTACCAGAACTGGAAGGGAAGATTCATACCTTGATCTCCTGGTTACATGCTCTACATGATATTTTTCCAGTTTATGCAAATGGTATCGCTATTTCAGTGAGTAATATTTTCATAAGATAAGAAAACCAAACATTTCCTCTTAAATATGTAACTCTTATCTTCTGAACTGCCCTTTCTCAAGTTTAGCCAGGATTTTTAGAGTCTACACACACTCTGGGAATGCAGGACCAGAAGAAGCTCTCCCTCTTGGTAAAGCGAGATCACTGAAATTTGTCTCTTTTCTCCACACATCCAGGTAGAGGAATAGAGATATCTGATACTGGAAACAGTATAATACCTACCATCACTGACTCAAGCTTCGAGCCCACAGTCTACATGGTCTGAAAAACTAGAAGCCAAGGAATTAATACAAAGCTGGCCCAGGTAAGTAGTGAGTCAGAGGACTTGGCAAAAAACAAATACAAACTCTTCTTGAAATAATTCATCATTAATTTAAGTCTGTGTGTGTATGTGTGTGTTCGTGCATGCATGCCCATGCATGTTGCTGTTTGAATGTATCATGGTACACATGTGGAGGTCACAGAACAGCGTGGGGGAGTCATTTCTTTCCTACTGCCATGTGGATTCTGGGGATCAAACAACATTAAGTCTCTTAGAACTGGTCTTTTAAAACTTTTCCCACTCATAACCTTTTCTGAACAGAGAATTTTTTACGTGATGTTGGGTATATAGATATATGAACAAAACATTGATAATAAAATCATAAAGAAATTTATTTGAAACAATTCTTTGGCATACATACAGTATTACCATTTATGAAAGCTCATAGCAAATTTGAGTGCAAATGTGTTGAATGAACTGGTTTAGTAGTGTATTAAAGATTAAATGAATACTTGACACTCTAGGGCAGTGGTTCTCAGGGTCAAAGGGGCCTTTCACAGAGGTCACCTAGTACCATTGGATAATACAGATATTTACATCATGATTCGTAATAGTAACAAAATTACAGTTATGAAGTAGCAACAAATAATTTCATGGTTGGGGCCACCACAACATGAGATAAATGCAAATAAAACTTAGTATTTACACTAAAAACTGATTCCTAACACAGAGTAGCTTTGAATATGAGCTGAGGTGCTTCAGGCAGTGTTCACCGGTAAGTGCAAAGTGTACCTGTCTGATCAGCACCAAGGTTGTACAGAAGTTGTGCAATACGAGCACAGACAAGCAACTTCAGGTATTTCTGGATTTGTTATACTATTGAATTTGAATTTGTTTTTTATTGTATGTCCAGAATTCATTTCCTATTACCTCATTTTTGTTATTTTTCATAACCCCACATTCAGCTACATGACCCCCAATTTAAGAAGCTAGATTTTAGAATGCATTCAGATTATTGATCATTCAAGGACAGGCTCATAGTTGGAAGCCATAAAACACATGCAAGGAGTCTGGGAGGGTAGTTGAGTTGCTAGAATGCATAGCATTTAGGAAAGCGTGAGTTGGATTCGTAGTACTACACAAACTGGGGTGATGGCACATGCCTGTATCCTGGCGCTTGAGTGATGGAGACAAGAGGATCATGAATTCATAAGCCTTTTTGACTATATAAGGAGGTCTTGACTAGTCTAAGATTAAAAAAAAAAAAATCATGTAGGTTTTTCTTGTTTTGGATTTTTATACTTAATATAGTTTGTCATTTTTAGAAATTCTATCATCAATTTTGAGTTAATGATTTATAAAAGTATAATTCATGGTTTATTTTTTCATGCATAGGACCAGTTTGGCCCAGTACATTATGTGTACATGAAAGCCTTTGCTTTATTATATTGCCTTTATGCCTATGCGAAATAAAGATTAGTTGACTTTGTCTAACAGAAAGGAATAAGAAAGAAAGAAAGAAAGAAAGAAAGAAAGAAAGAAAGAAAGAAAGAAAGAAAGA